GGCCCATTGGGCGAGGCTCCTATGGGCAGGCCCATTGTACGGCAAACTTCCTGGAAAAGACTTGCGTGGATTGCAAAGCCCACGCGCCAGCGCAGCCCTTGTCGCTGCTCACTCCGAGGCCTTGTGTTCCTGGGAACTGGTTCAGGGCGCTTTCGACGAACTGGCACAGCAGCGTCCCCTTGGCAGACGTACTTTCCTCGTCCTCCAGCGTGACCCACTGGAAGCGGAGAGCGCCGCCTTTGTCTTTCGAGTCGGCTTTCGCGAGGTCACCGAGCCGTTTCTCCATCTGTCAGCTAAGAAACAACAGAATTTGAGACAATAGAGGGTGGAGTCTTGGATGAAGAGCACATATATGCACAAAGTCAACAATTGGCAACTCTGGGCACGCCCGAAAGACCTCCGAGAACTTGTGAACCCATGGGGGCGAATACCTCGGAGGCCACCTGTGCACCGACCCCGGCCTTCTCCAGGCCCATTCACGGAATAGGACCTCTGCACGCGACTACCAGGCAATCTCTGAGGGCGGCCCGTGCGTCGATTTTGCCTCCGTTATCTCGTACTACTATAGAATCCGTCCCCCCTCAGTCTCCCTCCTTCCTCCCTCCGTCTCTTCCTTTTTTTTTCTCAACCTCCTCCTTTTCCTTCCCGTTGCCTCTTCCCCTCCTGCTTTCCTGCTCTGGGATTGCCTTGCATCTATATGGGGGGGGAGGGGCGGACAAGAGGAGGCTCCCGATGGGCAGGCTCCTGATTGGCAGGCCCCTGGCTGCTGGCTGGCTGGTGGCCGCCTGGAAGGCACGGGCACGGCGGGCGGCCCCGCGGCCTGCGGCGCGGCTTGCACGGCGAAGTCCCCAGAGAAAACTTGCGTGGATTGCAACGCCCACGCGCCAGCGCAGCCCTTGTCGCTGCTCACTCCGAGGTCCTGTGTTCCTGGGAACTGGTTTTTGTTCCTGGCACTTTCGACCTGCTGGTGCAGCAGCATCTCCTGGGCAGACGTACTCTCCTCGTCCTCTAGCATGACCCACTGGAAGCGGAGAGCGCCGCCCTTGTCAATTCAAGGCGGCTTTCGCGAGGTCGCCGAGCCGTTTCTCCATCCGTAAGCTAAGAAACAAAAGAATATGAGAAGGCCGCTGGGCCTCCCCAGGGGTTTCTTGGACCGTTTTTCGGCGATCTTGGGCTCGTTCCCCAGTTTGGAGCGTTGGACACTCGAACTGCCGAGAACGCTCAGCACTGTCCGAACCAGCATCAAGCTATGTATGTGTTGTTTCCCGAAGCCCTGTGGGTGCCTTCTCGGATCATTATTGAGGCGTCTTGGGGGCCCTTTGACCCGGCCTGCGGCCGTCTTGGGTCGTCCAGCCGCGATCGAGCTGTCTCGGAGCCCTTTTGGTCCGTCCGGGGGGCGGCCTTCCTGGCCAGTCCTGGGGCCTTTTTTCGTGTTCCCGCTTTGCCTATATTCTGTCCTTCTCTCCTCGCTTCTCCCTCCCGTCGCCATCATCAATCGAATTGTTTCCGCCCGTGAAGGGCGGCGATTCGAGTGGGCGCGGCGTGGGCCAGAACAAGGCGCGCCAGAGGACCCCTCGCAATGGTAGCGGAGCTGCAGGCGGCCACGGTCTATGTGAGCACGGCGCGAGCATTATCTACAGCTTTGGATCCGACCCTTCGGCGGGGGTGGCGGTGCGCCGAGTCAATGTCCTTGCAAAACGATGGCGTTGGTGAGGTCGAGGCGCGCATATCCAAACCACCAGTGAAGCTTCGCATTGACGTCGGTGCATTGCCGCATGGATCGGCGCGTTGTCCTGCGCATGCGAAGGTTTCGGACGTTAGGTTATGGGGGGCGTCGCCCATATCTAAGAGACAGCGCCCGCGCATGAACGGGCGGCACATCGTCGCTATCACCGTGTGGTCACCGCCGAAAGTTTGCATGTAAGCGCTTCTTCGTGGATGGGGCTGCGTTGATCGGATGGGAACAGTCAGATAGGCGCGGGGAGAGAGGCCCCCCCCCGCGCCGCCACGGCGCGGCCCGCGTCGAGTTCTGAGCCCGCTCAGGGTCCGCGTGGCGTGGGGGCTTCGCGCCCCGCGCCGCCCAAAATAATGCGGGCGGTTTTGCGCGGCGCCCCCCGCGTCGGATTTCATCCTGGACCCCCCGCACTTTCGGCGCGGATGTCTCGGAACCGACGGCGCGCCTCTTTTGGCGCGGGGGCCGCGCGGCCGAGCGCTTCGGGGGCCCCGCGATTCGCGCGGGCGGGGGCCGATTGCATTGGAGCCCGCCACAATGGCCCGAGCGTTGTAAACGTGCTTTTTTCTTATTTGCAGCATTGCCCATGCATCGGCGATGCGGCGCGGTTCTTCGACGCCATGCGCTCGGAGCCAAGTTTGGAGGCCTCGAGTGAGGAGTGAAAGAAGGACGTGCGCGTACATGAATCCACGTGGGTTTCGAAAGTGCGCATTGCGCGAACGTCCGTAACACGAGGCCGTCCTCGCGGATTCTGGGGCCGCATTCGTGTACGGGGTGCGCGCGTCCTTTGTAGGCTCCCTGGCGGAGCGGGGCGGGGCCATGACGAGGATAGTTGAATCCTTTCCGGAGCGGTCTGCCACCCTAACATGTCGATTAGTGGATTGTCCGTTTTGGGTTCTCGAGAAGACGCCGCGGCCGTAATTTTCCAGGCTTGCACCCGCCAGGTTTGGGCCCGAGGTCGTTTTCGCTAAACTGCGTTTTGGCACAGGGGTCCTGTCCATCCCCGACCCGAGACGTCCTCCATCTCAGCGATTCTCGACCGTCCTCGCCCCGGCTTCGTCTCGCGGAGGCGGCCTTCTCCTGCGAGCTCGTGAGCCGCGTGGTGGACTTCCTGCGCCAGTCGATGGGCGCGCCCCCCGCCGCGTGAGCGCGGGCGGCACCCCGCGCGCGTCGGCAGCGCTGTCGCCGCCGCAGCGGCGACCTGGCGCCCTCTCGCCGCGCCCGGCCGCGTCGGTGCTCATCGCGCCGGCGGGGCATGCCGCCATGAAGAGTCCGCGGACGATTCGTGCGCACCGTGCCCGGACATCCAACATACGGAGAAATCGATTCGGAGTTTTTTTATATCACTTTCGCCCCTTAGGGGGCCCTCGCCGGGCCCCATGACCGTCAACAAAGCAGCTCAGTATGAAAAGCTGGTCCTAGGGAGTGAATGGGTCGAGACTTCTGGGGACCGCGTATTGAAAAAATCACGGTTTCGGATCTTTGGGTAGAAGGGCGACGAAATCAATACAGATCCATTGCTCCTGCCCAGGCTTATCTTGGGACCAGGAGCGGTTTACACGCCCTCCTGACTCGGCCAGGGAGGCATGTACACCGCTCGTGGGCCGCGGATGATCTTGGCCAAGAGCAGTGGATGTAACTACATCGATCTCGTCGCCCCACGTGCCGCGTTGGCGTCTCTCGAGGTTTCGTCGGTCGTCGAGCCAGGAACGGAACATTGGAGACCAATGCTAAGAAGCAGCTTGCTTGCCTCCGGAGTGCCCTGGGTTTCTTGGGCGTCGATGGTTCTGCGATGGAAAGCGTGACGTTCCCACATCAAAAACGATGGACGTCCTGGGATCTCAGGGTTGGATTCCTTGTGGAAGGTCTCTTGTGGTCGAGCTCCTACTGAAGCCGATCCGGTGACGAGCGGTATCCGCGATGATACGTTAGGAGGAGGAGGAGGAGGAGGAGGAGGAGGAGGAGGAGGAGGAGGAGGAGGAGCGGGGGAGGAGGAGCGGGGGAGGAGGAGCGGGGGAGGAGGAGGGAAGAAAGAAAGAAAGAAAGCCCTGAGGTCAGGGTTCGGCCGCCTGGCCCGCCTCCTCAGAAGAGGAGCAAGAACTGGTTGAAGGAGCACTTCAACTGCAACCTTGGGCCACCCTTGTTCGCCACAACCGCGACGACGATGGCGTTGCGCACGACGGCCTTGCCGATGCCGCCGTCCTGCTCCCCGATCTCGGAGAGCCCTAGCGGAGTGAGGAAGGGCCACTCAGCCCGCTGCCCCTACGCTTCGACGAGCACCAACCACGATCCCTGCCTTCTTGAAGGCGATGAGGTTACCGATGATGTCCTTGAGCACCAGGGGGTTATCGGAGTTCTCGAACTCCCCGACGGAGGTGAGGCCCACGGCAGTCTTGAGGCGCGCGATCTTCCCGCGGAGCTCCTCCAAGGAGTCCGTGTCCTTGTACTCGTCCTCGTCGCCCATGCCTTTGTTCTTGTCCTTGCCCTTGCCGAGGCCCATGCTGCGCGGAGGGCGCGAGCGCTGCACAGGGAGCGCGTCCGCCCTCTCGTCGGCCAGCATCAGCTCGCTGTCGACGGCAGCCCCCTTTGCCGCCGCCACGCCAGCTGCCTCCTTCTCGTCCTGCTCCATCTTGACGTCGCCTTCGTGGTCTGGGCCCGCATCTCCACCGCCATGTACACGGCCACGTCCGCGCGGGCGACGGCGTCGCTGCGCCGTCGTGGGGCCCGCATCGGCCGCTGGCTCGAGGTTGGCGGGTGGCGCGCCCAGCTGCGCGATCGCCGTGCGAAGCAGGCCCTCCGCCGCACGCACCAAGCGCGCTGCGGGCCGCCGCCCCGAGGCGGCTGCGAGCCCGGCGGCCGCGTGGACGGCCAGCAGCGCCCCGCGCGAGGCCTCCAGCGCCGCCAAGCTTTCACCCTTCAGCGTACCCGGCATCGGCCCAGCGGCGGCGCGCGAGGAGGCGGCCTGCGACCCTGGGTGTGAGCCAAGACGGTTACTGGGGGAGGAGGAGGAGGAGGAGGAGGAGGAGGAGGAGGAGGAGGAGGAGGAGGAGGAGGAGGCGGAGGAGGAGGAGGAGGAGGGTTTGGTGTCGCAGTGTCCGGGCTCCCGAGGCCCTTCACTGGCCCCGGCACTGTCCGCAGACGGCTCAGGACGAAGGCTCATAGTGGCTTGGTCCTGGGGGGGAGCTGACGGGCGTCACCCGGGTGGGAATGGGGAGGGTTGCTTCGCCGTTGTGGAGCACGATGCGTAGCTGTCCCCGCCGCTTGGCCGATGCAGGCGGGCGCAAGCCTAAGTGGGGTCAGACTGCACACTGGGGACCGGCCACCTAGCTGCGGCTCGTGCTCACGGGAAAAAAAAAGGGTGGGGATGGGGAGGGAGGGGGCGGTAACGCGTCACGCTTCGCGCCGGCGCCGTCTGGGAATGCCTGCAGGAATAGCCAGAAAGACAGTCCGGAGGTCCGCAGGAGTCGTTACATTACCTGGGGGTTGCTTGGAGGCTCGTTGGGCGCCTCCAGGGCGCTTCTTGGGGGCCTCTGGGGTGCTCTTGGGCGCCTCTCTAGGGGAGCTGGTGGAGGTCTCGGGGGGGTCCATCTCGGAAGAGGGCCCCGGAGTCCTTTGCGAAATGCCCTTTTTGAAGCTCCCGGTGAGCCTCTTCTCGGGGGCATCTGCGGCCCTCCTGGGGGCTCGGGAGCCGTCGACTGGCGATCCTGGAGACATCCCGAGCAGTGCGGGGCGCTCGTGGCGCCGAAGACGAGGAAGCGAGTTCTCAAGGGTTCAGGACCCGTTTTCCACGGGACCCATCTCTTGCATGCTATGTTTGGGCGCGTCGGCGTCGCGACAGCCGCGGCGAGCGGCGCGGCGCCTCTTCGCGGCAGCCGCTCGCAAAAAGGCCTGCCTTTTTGGCGGGCCGCGGCCGTGCACTGCAGTGGCGGCGGGATTGGTGTGTGGCGGGGGGGATGGAGAGGGATAGGGTGAGGGAGGGAGGGGGGGAGAGGGAGATAGAGAGGGGGGAGAGGAGGGGAGGCAGAGAGGGGGACAGAGAGAGGGAGGGCAGGGATGGGAGGAAGAAAGTGAGGCATGTAATTATACGCACGTGCTTGTAGAGAGGGGGAGAGAGGGAGAGGGAGAGGGATAGAGAGATGACAACGAGCGGCGCCTCTGCTCTGCTCTGCTTCCATCCTCATCGCGCATGGGCGCTGGGGCGGCGCAAAATGTTTGGAACATACCCTCCATCCGTGAAGACTGATGGACGTTTCTCAAGCTTTCACAGCATGTTTTGCTCGGATCTCTCAGGTGAATCGCTGGGTTCGCCTTGTCACCATGGCTGGTGGTGCGACTTGAAGACATGTGTTGTCCTGAGCAGGTGTCAGGACCAGGAGAAGCAGGAGGTGGAGGAGGATGGCGGAGGAGTGAGGAGACCAAGGGAGTTGATAGGCGGAGGAGGAGGACGAGGAAAGGATGACCATGAGGACAAGCACTGGGAATGGGCAGGAGGAGGAGGAGGGGGAGGGGGACGAGGCGGAGAAGGAGGAGAGGGAAGCCCTCGCGGGAGAGGTGGCGCTGTCGCGGGACGGCCTCCTGTACAGCTGGGGCGGCGGCGGGTGCGGACAGCTCGGCCACACCGAGACGTCCAAGATGCTCAAGGACGAGGATCGGAGCAGCCCAGATCCCGTGCAGGGAGCGCATCCTCAGAGCAGGAAAAGGTACTCTGGGGTTCTTGATAAGCGTGGGGGGTACCCCCCCGACGGGGGTCAACCTCGCCTCGTCGTCGCGCCGCGACGGGGGTCAGAGCGCCTTCAGCGCGCGGTGGCTACCCGCGATTGGGTTCGATATGATATGGGGCTGTCGGCGGGGGTGACGCCACCCCCGACGCTTATTAAGACACCCCCATACCGGCACCTCTCGCTCGTTTTCACATTTTCGGGGGCCTCCTGGGAGACCCTCGTCGCCACCGCTGGATTCGCCTTGGAATTCTGGTCCGAACGTACCCCAGGAGAGGGCCGTGGAGGAGCGGTCGTAGTTTTCTGGGAGGGGGTTCCCCATATGCACGTTCACGGCCTCGCGGTCTTTCTCTGAATCCGCATTCTCTCCTCCTCCCCCGCTGCGGCTCGCCAGGTCCACCATTCGAGCTCCGAACCTGGCGCACGCACGTTCTGCAAGCGAGAGTGCACTGGCCCTGTGCGACGGTATCTTTTCGAATGGCAGGTCAGCTGCTCTCCTGCTGTCAGGACGCAAGCCTTCTTCGATTGCACTGTGCACCATCCCGAACCTCGATGTAACAAAAAGGCCTCGCGGTCCAGACTCCTCGACCGCGATCCTGTGGATACCCGGCGCGCAGCATGTCCATCGAGGCCGCGTAACCCATTGGATCGCCCAGCGAAGGCTTGGCTATAGATATGGCCCCCCAAACAGGGTCCGAGCAGATGGGGTCGGAGGATCGCGACACATCGCCGAAGCATCTCGAATTGATCCACGCCGACATCGCCGATGCATCATCAAGGTCGTCGATGCGTCGCCGGTGCGTCGGCGATGCGCTGGCGATTCGGCGCGATCTTCCGATCTCATGTTATCGGACCCCGTATAGGAGGCCCGCTGAGCCAGGATATATGATCTTAGTTATCAATGTATGAGAATCAAATCGATCAGCGCCGGTTGCCGATAGGAGAAACATCAAAATTTGTTCAAAGGTCGGTGTCCGAGAGTTTCCGGCAACCATCGGATTCCAGGACGTTTTTCTTGGCGAAAGTTCCAGAGTGGCGGCGACGCTCCAATTCGCCCTCTTGTGGGCCACATTCTGCCCCAGCAACAGTCGGAAGCTGGAATGCGTTTTCATGTTTGACGTTGTACCCTAGTTGGTATGACGGTTTTTCAGACATGTGTCTGAGCCGTCCAAGCATTTCGCATAGGCGTACGAGGGCACGGCAGCTGCACGTTCCACCCTTCGTTTTCTAGTTTGAGTTTGCAGTATTCGAGGATGCGATGGAGAGGTATTGGGATGCTTGCGAACAAGAGAACGACAACGAGGAAGGCGATAGCAACGACGACGATGATGATGGTTGAGCTGTCGGCGCCCCTCCCCAGAACGTCGGGACGCCGTGGGCACGGACAAAAAAGTCTTGCCCGCAATCGGGGCGCCGCTGCGCTCACACAGCCCCGAGCGGCATTCGAGTCCCTCGCGAGGACGGGTGTCCGTACCAGCTCACGCCGCGGGTGGTGGAGAACCTGAGGCTCGTTCGCGCGGGAGGAGAGGGGGAATGGAGGGTCGCCACGCGGAGGCGTCGGTGCCGCCGTTTTTCCGCCGCCGTCGGATGCAGGGAGGAGGAGGAGGAGAAGGAGGGGGGGGGAAGGGGGGCAGGAGCAGGAGGAGGAGGAGGAAGAGGAGGAGGATGAGGAGGAGGAGGAGGAGCAGGAGGTGGAGGAGGAGGAGGAGGAGGAGCAGGAGCAGGAGGAGGAGAAGGAGGAGGAGGAGGGAGGAGGAGGAGGAGAAGGAGGAGGAGCAGGAGGACGAGGAGGAGCAGGTGGACGAGGAGGGGAGAGGGGAGAGTTTTTGTTTGTCGCTCTGAGCCTTGGGGCTTCGCCGCCTGTAAGGCCAGCAGCCGCCACGGGCAGCTGGGGCCCCGCGCGCGGAACCTCGGCGGAGGCCTCCTCCCGGGGACCGACGGCAGGATCAGACCCTCACTCGCTGCCCCGTCGGAGGCCGTGACCTGGTGAGCGTTTTTTGTGTGTCCTCCCCACGCTAATGCTCGCTACTCGGGGGGGAAAGAAGCACACAGACGAAATGGATCCTCGATTTCCAGGGAAATATGGGGAACTATGGGAAGTGGGGGGGGAGGCAGAAGCCCGGAAAATGTGGGGCATCCTTCTATTTGTGTGTATGTATGTGCGTGTCCTGGGGCCCCTTCAGCCACCCGGGCCACACGCCTCCCCCCCCCATAGCACCCGGGTAGTAACGCTAACGAGCGTACCGGGGGGGGGGCTGGACGCTGGACCCCCCCCTTCGTGCTGTGGTGCACACGGGCGATGGATGCGCCGGTGGCGCAGACGAAGTCTTGCGGATGCATGCCGCGGCCAGCGTTCTGTAACTTTCCCGCCCGAACACCCCCCCCATCCCCCGTGTTACGACCGTCTCCTGGAAAGAACACATTGTCACGATCAGATCTTCATTCGTTGCCCCGTCTCGGGTCGTGACCCCTGAGGTCCCTTGGAGCGGGTCATGTTTGCTCCTTTCCTGTGCGTTGTCTCTGTCTGACACATTGTTGCATGAGCATCTGCGTAATTATCGGGGGCGTTCTGTGCTGGGGACGTTGGAGCCTGTGCCACGCTGGCACAATATGCAGGAGAAGGGGGAGGCCAGAAGGAGAGGGAGGATGATAATCCGGGCAAGGGATCGATTACAGAATTGGTTTATCGCAAAATTGATTCTCTCGTCGGTTCCAGGGAAATTCAGTGGAATGATGATACTGATGATGATGATGATGATGATGATGCTGATGCTGATGCTGATGATGATGATGATGATGATATGATGATGATGATGATGATGATGATGATGATGATGATGATGATGATGATGATGATGATGATGATGATGATGATGATGATGATGATGGAATTGATGATGATGATGATGATGATGATGATGATGATGATGATGATGATGATGATGATGATGATGATGATGCTGATGATGATGATGATGATGATGCTGATGATGATGATGATGATGATGATGGCGATGATACTGGAAATGACGATCATGCTGCTGATACTCATGATGCTGGTGATGGTGATGATGGTGTGACGATGACTTCGATGCTGACGATGATGCTGATGATGATGTTGATGATGATGATGCTGCTGATGATGATGATGATGATCATCATGGTGATGGTGACGGTGATGGTGATGGTAGTGATGATGATGGCGGGAATGGTGATGGTAATGGTGGTGATGCTGATGATAATGATGTTGATGATGATTCGATGATGATGTTGCTGATGCTGATGTTGATGAGGATGAGGATGAGGATAAGGATGGTTATGAGGATGATGATGACGATGATGCTGACGATGATGACGATGCTGATGAGGATGGTGATGATGATGATGAGGATGTTAATGATGATTCCGGTGATGGGTGATGGTGAGGATGAGGATGATGGTGATGATGATGACGATGATGCTGATGCTGATGATGATGTGATGATGCTGATGGTGATGATAATGCTGATGCTGATGCTGATACTGATGATGATGATGATGATGATGACGATGATGGTGATGTTGATGATGATGATGATGATGATGATGATGATGATGATGATGATGATGATGGTGTTGGTGGCCATGATGACGATGACGAGGGGGAGAATGACGAGGTGGAGGAAGATGAGGAGGAGCAGTCGGAGCAGTTCGACGGGTGGGGAATTGGAAGAGGAGGGCTCGAAGGAGGCAGAGAGTAGTATTCAAATCGTTGCATTGTGGAGGAGGAGGAGGAAGAGGAGGAGGCGGAATGGTGCCCATGATCGTGAATCCCTCAGGCTATCAGGAAACAGGAAACAGGAGGAGGGATGGAGGAGGAGGAGGAGGAGGAGGAGGAGGAGGTGGAGGAGGGGGAGGAGGAGCGAAGGAGGGAGGCGAGGGCAGGAAGGCGCACAGGGCATCTCTGGCGGTGAGGCGCCAGGGAGCGCAGGTCGAGGATCCTCCGGACGCGAGTCAGCCCGAGGAATGCTTGCCCCGCTCGGCTCCGCCGACTGCACGCGGTCAGGGCCCCGAAGCACCGAGGCTGGGGGCGGTCCGGGGTAGCTTTAAGTCGGGCGTGTCCCTCCACAGGGGGGATATTCAAAATAGTAAACAAAATAGTCTGGGGACGATTTTGTGACCATTTTCGAGCATTTGGGGGGTATTTGTTGGAGTATTTTTTTTCGCTTTTTTCGCCCCTAATTCCCCTGTAGGGGGCCACTCCCGACTTAGGGTAGCTACAGATTCGCGCCTTGCGCGCCCCAAGCCTGATGTACCCCGGACCGCAGTGATCCAATCAAGGACACAACTGTACGATATCAAACTCTCCTGTTCTGGGCGCACCCAGCCCGGTTGATCGAGGGCTCTCCCTCTCGACACCCTGAGCCAAGGGCACATGCGGAGGCCACGATGTACCCCCGGACCGCAGGTGTATCCTGGAGAACTTGGGCGTCCACCCCCCCCGAGTCGTCACGGCCGGGGGCATTCCGGGGGTAAGTAACCTTATGCCGATGATAAAGAAGGACCCCCCCTTTCCAGGTTAGAGTTGATTATCCACGGCCAAGAAGAGTTTGGTCAGGGGCGCGGGGCGCGGAGGCCGAACTTTTTGTTTACCACTGTGAAAAGTTCACCATCGAGGTTAACTTCCTTCTTATGTTGAGATAGCAACATCAAACGAAGCGAAGACGTTGTCGAGGATGTCTCAAGCGAAACCAACAATTTTTGGAGGCAGCCTCCAGCGAAACGATCAATGTTTCAAGGATATCTCAAGCGGAACCAATTATTCCAGGATGTCTCAACCCACATGCTGGCCTCCGGTAGGCAACATCTATAATCCCCTCGCGGCCCCGAACTTTATTATCCCTGTGGGATTAACCTCCGTCGTGTTCGATTACAGATTTGCGCCTCGGGTTAAGTCGGGCCTGTCCTCCTACAGGGGGATTTTCGACGAAAAATGAAAATACCCCAAAAATAAACCAGACATAGTCCAAGAATAGTCTGGGGACTATTTTTCTAATATTTTTTGACCTTGTTGGGGTATTTTGGGGGTATTTTTTTGGTCCGTCGAAAATCCCCCTGTAGGGGGACAGGCCCGACGTAAGCCTCGGGGGGCCCAAGCCGGAGTTGCCCCGGGCGGCAGGAATCCCGGACGGATGGGACGTCCATTGTGTCGTTTGCTTCGGCTGTCATCAGACACCGCCCCGCCTCGCGCTGGATCGGGGGCGGAAAAGAGGGGGGTGATGACTAGGGGGGGGGTGGATATCATGGCGGGGGTCATGATATTTCCCCAGATTTCATGGCGCCTCTTTTTATTCCATTACGTCCATGGCCCCCCCGCTGGGCCGCGCACATGCCGCCGGTCATGATTTGCACCCCCCCCTCTTGGACACCCCCCTCTTGGCCGCTCCCGACTGGAGGGATTCGGTGGACGAGCACACGTTGGCGTCAGCACGAGTTGCCCTGAGATCCGCTGCTGCGACGAAGTGCAAAGTCGCGAGACGTCACTGCGGGAGCCCCATGCACCCCATCTTCCCGAATCATGTTTCGAGCCGGATCGATTTGGGCTGGCTCCAGGGCTCGGAATTGGACGACAGCATTCCCTGTGGAAAGATGCAGCGCCCCGATCTTACGGTCTCGGACCATCGGAAACCGGATTTCCCAGGATCGGTCGCGATTGATCTGCTCCATTCCGTCGCCATCGGTCGCGATCGTTCCCCACCGATGCCAGCATCGGTCGCGATCCTTTGCGACCGATGCTCGGTGCCGATCGGTCGCTGCCGACCGCGGCCGAACAAACACTCGGCATCCAATGAGAGCTGGGCTGTGGGGCTCCTCGAGGAGGCGGCCCGGCCGCCCCGGCTTCGCGCGTGGCCCGGCCTCCGGGGGGAGGGGGGGGGCAGGGGGTCGCATGCGAACCCTACCCCACCCTCCTCCCTCCTCCTCCTCCTCCTCCTCCTCCTCTCCTCCTCCTCCTCCTCCTCCTCCTCCTCCTCCCCCTCCACCCCCCACGACTTTGAGGGGGAGGCGAAGTGAACCCCACCCCTCCCCCTCAGAAATCGTGGGGGGTAGGGGTAGGGTTCGCATGCGGCCCCCTAGGGGGGGGGGGGGGGGGCGCGCCAGAACCGAGGAGGCGCTGCGCGCTCGGCGCTGCGGCCCGATCTTGCCCCGAGCTGATCCGATCCGGTCGTGGGCTTTGGCCCTGGCCCTGGCCCGACCTTCTGTTGATCTTGATCCCGACTCGATCTGGTCCGTTCTTGGCCCGATCCGAGCAGATCTTGACCCTGATGCTGATCCGGCCCGACCTCGATCTTGATTCGATTCGACCCGATTCGATCATGATCCTATTCGATCCGATCCGATGCCGATTCTGATCCGACCCGGCCCCACCTTCCGGCCCCATCTTGATATTGATCTGGTTCGATCCGATCAGATCTTGGCCCGATCCGATCTTATTCTTGAGTCTGATCTTGGTCACATCCGACCCGATCTTGATCCTGATCTGATTCGATCCGATCCGATGCGACCTTGGTCCGACCCGATCCAATCCAGGCCGGAGGCGCGCGGGAGGGGGGGGCCGCGCCGCGCGGCAGCCGAACGGCCTCAGGCCGCACGTGATAGCCACGATCGCCTGCGGCAAGGCGCACACGATCGCCGTCTCGGACAGGGGGCGCGCCCGCCGCCGTGCTGCTGAGCCTCCCGGATGGGTGTCGGAGTGCCGCGTTCGCATAGCAAGGGCGAGCAACCTTCTAATCCAGACGTGATCGCGAAAGTTGAAAATCAGGAGGGGAAAAAACACACAGACACAATGAATCGCCGATCCCCAGGAAAATATGGGAAAATATGGGAAGTAGGGGGGAAGACGAAAATCCAAGAGATATTGAAAAATGTGGGGAATCCTTTTATTTGTGTATTTTTTTTGTGCGCCCTGGGGCCCCTTCGAAAAATCACGACGGGAGGTCTTTGGTTGTCTTTGGCCCCTGGGTGCCCTCGCCGGGCCTCGGGACCGTCAACAGAGCGACTCGGGATAAAGAATCAGGTCCTAAGGAGCGGGTCCGGACTTCCAGGGGCCCCGTATGGACAAAATCAGTCGGGGGTGGAGGAGGAGGAGGAGGAGGAGGAGGAGGAGGAGGAGGAGGAGACGGAGGAGGAGGAGGAGGAGGAGGGTTTGGTGTCGCAGTTTCCGGGCTCCCGAGGCCCTTCACTGGCCCCGGCACTGTCCGCAGACGGCTCAGGACGAAGGCTTATAGTGGCTTGGTCCTGGGGGGAAGCTGATCGGGGGTGGACAGAACCCCCGACAGTGACACGTCGATTAGTGAGTTGTCCGTTTTCGGTTCTCGAGGGGGCGCCGTGGCCGTGATTTCCCAGGCTTGCGCCCGCCAGGTTTGGGCCTCGGGTCGTTTTCACGAAGCCACGTTTTACTAAAGGGGGGTCTGTCCATCCCCGAAGCAGGACGTCGCATTTGTGGGTCTGCATCCTTCCCCTTCGGCTCCTCCTTGGCTCCTTCCGCAGGCCGCGCCCAGCTTCGAAAGGGGTCGGCATGGCCTTCCAGGGCCCTTGCATCCTTGTCGTGGACCCTCATTCTGCGCCTCGGCTGTAGATGGGGTCGGAGGATCGCGCCGCACCGCCGATGCCTCGGCAAAGGCGGCTCGATGAGGAGCCCGATGTTCTCCACGCCGACGTCGCCGATGCATCGGTGACCCATCGGGGCGAGACTCGGCTCAATTCGGAGATCCACACATGTGCATCGCCACTGCGGGCTGGTTTCCTGTCGTGGGGCTCGATCGGGTTGCTGCTGCGGCGGTGGGTTGCAGGGCGTGCCAAGTCTCGCGGTAATGAGATGTCGCGTGTGCAGCGTGATTTGGGCACGCGGTTGCATGTGCAGCAAACAACGCGTTCACGTGTTGTAGATTCCGGGGGGGTGCATAAAAAATTCTGGGCGGGCCAATCGTTTGATGCGCCGCCACCGTGCTGTCGCAGGGTGTCTGGGCCTGGGGGCGATGATTCGCGACCGACTGCGGCCGCCATCTACGCGCATGACCACGCGGCAGGTACCTGTGCTTGGCGGGAGCAGGCAACGACGCCCCTGTCAGGGCGGACGCGCGCAGGATGTTGGCCTTGCCTATGGCCGCCTGGTTGTGGTGTACAGTTTGGGGCCCCGCATCTTTCTCCCTTCCATCCCCAGCTGGCGCCCGCGAGGCAAGGACTCCGGCGCCGGCGTCGTGATCTTTTGTCGCCACGGCCAGCAATGGAAAATCCATCAGCCGCGACAGATGATCGACGCGCGCGCGCGTGCGCTCATCCTGACCCGGCACAGGCCATCCAGCAAGGCAAGCCCTTGGTCCCAGCGCGCACAACAGAAGCGCTTTTTTCATTGCGTTTGCTGGGGCGCTCACCTGCAACGAGCCGCGCAGCTACAGCTTTGGGCTCGGGGGGCACTAGGACGATTGGGTTGTCATCAACTGGAGAACGTGCACGGCCTGGATGCGTCGCGAGGTCTTGCGCCGCGCGCCTCGCTGCAGCTGCGCTTCCACCGGCGCGGGTGCGACGCGGAAGGCGCGCCTTCGACGAGGCGCGACGGCCGTTCGCCCGCCGGATTCGGACACCTTTGCAGTCCCATGGTCACGCGCCGCCGCGACGCTGAGCCGCGCGCCCAGCGCTGCAAAACCAAGCGACGCACTGAGGACCACCAGGACGGACAACCACGGCAACGCTACCTATGACCAGTTTTCCAGCAGACCAGCAATCACAAGCGTCCTACAACCGCGTTGTCGACGCCTACGCTGCGTCAGAGTGCACGCGCCAGAAAGCGCAGATACAGGAGGGCCATGTGCCCAAAGCTCACATGCAGGTCGCAGTGCGACCACAGGTCTGGCCCCGCATCTTTCAGGCCCCCCAGCCATTGGCGAGCCAGGTCGCGCCGACGAGTATGACCACGACGACCTCCGTGGCAGCCTTGCCTCACGCCTGCCCGCGTGGTGGTTTCAGGATTCGTCGGCCTTGGCATCGGATCGGTATCTGGCGAGTGCTCAATAGTGCAACAGTGGCAGTCCGTCGAGTTCGACGGCATTCACTCACCTACCTCACCTCCATCGATGACGGCACTCAGATCATGGAGATGCGGTAGGGGGCGCGGACCAGCCAATTCGCTTTCCGTCGCCGCCTCACGGCGGGTGCCAACTTCGACTTGGCCACGGGCTGCGTGCGACCTCAACGACGAGAGCCAGCGCGGCATGCGTGGTCCTGCAGATGGGCGCCGGCTTCGCCCTCCCTGCCTTATTCGGTCTGCAATCCACGCAGTCTAAAGACGGGTATGCAGGGACAGGCGTAGCGCGCCTGCGCCTCGCGATCTCTGGCCTTGGAGGCCATGAGAGCACTTGGAGCCCAAACGCTATGCACTTCGTCGTAGAGTCAGCTCCATGCGGCCGCGCGTGCGTGCCATGTGCCAATCGGGGGGTCACAACCTAAACAGCGCGCCGCGAGCCGCGGGCGGCAACCGCCAGGACGACGACGCCAGCGACTGCCGCGAGCAGAAGGAGCTCACAATGCAGCTGCTCAGCCCCCACGCATCATCACCAGCGTGGGGCGCGCCGCTCTCCTGCGTGGACGTTAGTATCGTGACCTGTGGTCGTGAACTGGCGTCGACGGGCGTGGCCTCTCTTGCGCCGCCGGGCGCCGGCCTGCGAATCGTCTCGCGCTCAGGACTAGCCCTCGAGGACATCGACGTCGCGGGCGGAGTGGTGGGCCCCGACGTCCGCGGCGAGAGCAAGGTGATCGCGCGCGACGCTAGCCCGCAGACGTTCGCGGTGGAGCAGGGCCAGAGGATCGCCCATGTCATCCTGGATCGCATCAGCGCGGACCTCGACACCGCGGTCTTTACCAACTTTCTTCCATCCTCCCGCAGCTCCGCGGGCCTCGGACATACTGACATGACATGCCTCTGCCACCATCTCATGCCGCAGGTATCGGACACCGCAGCACCAACAGAGTTCGGAGGTGACAATGTCACCGAAGACCCCGCGCAGCCGCGACATTGGAAAGAGGGCGGGTCAGCCCGCAGTGCCGGCCCGGCCGGCCTGCCCCAGCAAGGGCGGGTAGCGGGGCCAGGACGTGCCGTCTGGGTCTTGGAGGGAGGACGGGGCACCTCACAAGCGCGACAAGAACACGGCTTCCGCGTCGTCCGTGCCACCAACCTCGGCGGTGCCATCGCGGCGCTGGTGCGCCCCATACTGTCCTTCGCCCTACGTGCAGCATTGTCAAGATTACGCGCGACACGCGGATAGGCACGAGGCTCCTTCCATTCTCGATAGCTGTCTCGACTTGCGTCCACCAGCCAAGGACTCTGGCACAAGGGCCGTGATCCACGGCCGCCGCGGCCAGCAGCGGACGCGGTCACAGGCGCGATTGGCGATCGACACGCGCGTGCTCCACTTGACTATGACTCAGCACAGGGAATGCCGCAAGCCCTTCGTCCCAGAGGCCAAACACAGAAGCGCAGTTTTCACTTTGCTTGTTGAACCCCATTCCGCAACCAGCTGTGCGGGTTCAACATCACTCTCGAGGCTCGAGGAGCACAAGGACGACTGACCGACCATCAACCGGAGGGTGTACACGACCTTGACGCGCCGCGAGGTTTTGCGCCGCGCGCCGCGCTGCAGTTGCACTTCACTGACGCGGGTGCAGCGCGGACGGCGCGCCCTCGACGAGGTGCGACGACAGTTTGCGCACCAGACTTGAACGCATTTGCGAATGCGATGTAGTGAACAGCGCCAGTGAGGGGCTGTTACCATGAACTCTGTTCGTAGAGCCGCAGGCCGTTAAGCGTCGAGCACGCAATTGATCGATTCTGTGATCCACCAACTGTCGGCTGCCAGCCTTTCTGTTCGGTCGTAAAGCAGTTTTGGTTTCTGGACCTGGTCAGTAGAAGGTCCCCTGCGCAGTGCAACTGTTTATGGGAGGGGTGGTGGGCACCCCCCCACACAATGTCCAGCTCAGCGCTGTAACTGTTTAGTGTGGCTGGTCTGGCAGGTCTCGGCGGTGGTCTGGACGGGTTGCGCCGGGCTGCCAACGAGGCACGTCGGACCCGCTTGGGCACTTGAGCCACACGGTACGTTACCCAGGTTTGTCGGGCGTGGGAGTGGCATTCCCGTTGCAATTTGTCTTCAGGCTCGCCTCCCGCGCCCGTTGCAACACACGTGCGCTATGAGACACCGCTCTGGGCGTCTGTGAAAGAGCCGTTCTTGTCCCACCGCGCTTTGCACTCATACTCTTCTCCTCCTCCCCCTCCTCGTCCTCATCTCCTCCCCCTCTTTCTCATCGTCCGTCTCGTACCTATGGCAGCGGTGGTGGAAAATCGGCCCATCATCAGCCTCGCCTCGAAGCTTGTCCCTGGGACGTGGTCCACACGTCGGCTGAGTCACGTTTGTTTAGCTTGTGGGAAAACCAAAAACATCGCGACGTCGGATGTCTGGGGTTTCCTGCCTCCCCGTTTTGCTCCTCCTGCCTCCACTCTCTGCCTCCCCCGCCCTCCTCCTTTTTCGGCTGCCTTCTCCTTCCCCTTCCCCTCGCCGAGACATGATCCTCGTTTGAGTCTGGACGCGAGCATTCATTGTTCCCGCGGCGCGGCCCGAACAGACCCCCCTGGTTCCCCCCCCTTGTGGATGTATGAGCCCTGGGCCCAGGTCACCAAGGAAATCAAATTCGCTCGGACCCAAAGCGATAGCCTTTACTAGCCATTATTGGGCGGTTTCTGCACGGTCCTGGCCTGATCGACTCCAGAGACCGCTCACCAAAAAAGGGCTGCGCTTGCACAGTTGCTTACTAGAAAGGGTGCCTCTTCTGCCCTCTACGTATGCAGCGGTGCCCAGTTTCCACAGCAGTCCGGAAAGGACGACGCAGGGTGATCGAGTCGGAGGTTCACAGCGGGGGCGGACCCTAAGTGGGGCCACGGAACAAAGCCCAGTTGGAGGTTCGCACTTCTTGCTTCCATGGGCCGTCCAGATTTCCGACGCTGCGATTTCTCAAAATCCCGATCCTGTGAGGCCTCAGAGTGGAAGCCCATGCCAAGAAAACACCTTGCTTGCCTCCAGGGTTCCTTCGGCTTCTTGGGTTGGGTGGTCCTTTTATGGAAGAGCGACGTTCCCAGACAAATAGTCAATGGACGTCCTAGGGGAACGGCTCTTGTTGTCGAGCTGTTACTGTAGACCCCTTTCCCCCGGCCCAGTCTTTCATCCCGAGTCGTCGGTTCTGGCGGTCTCGGGGTCCCTGCTGAGACCAGCTGGGACCATTTTGTAGGGGAAGGGGCCTGCTGAGCTGCTGAGGCCAGCTGGGACACACTGGCCAGGAGGGGGTCGTAGAGGGGGGGTGATACCCAAGGGTAGGGTTAGGGAAAAACCCCGCTGGATGCTCACACGTCCTCCCTTCACGGGCCGTTTGGAACGATTTTCTCTCATAACCCACTTCTGCCCCTGGCCCACCTTAACGTCCCCCCAATCTCCGGGGGGGGGGGGCTGTCCGTGCGTCGCCCGACGCATCCCCCTCCGGCCGACGAGGAACATTTTTGTGGCACCGGAAAAACTTTCCGACTCCGCAGTCGGCCAGTCGGCCAGTCAGAGTCCGTCAGAGACGGGACGGGAGTCAGATAGTTCACCACCCACCAAACCACCCCAACCCAACCCGAAGGCCTCAATTTGCCCTCCATTTCCAGTGGGGGGGGGTCGGGAAACGTCGAACAAACACGCGTGGAACCCTTACCCCCCCCAACCCGAAATTCGGGTCTTCGGGTTGGGTTGGGGTGGTCTGGTAGGTAGTCAATAGTTGATCCCGGTGCCCCAGAAATTTTCAAGATGCCCCGGCGCGCGAGCGGGGTGGCTGCCGCCCCCCTGTGGCCAGGCGCATGTACACGTGGGGGGCCGGCGCGTGCGGCCAGCTCGGGCACCCGGACACGAGCAGCTTCCCCTCGGACGAGGAGGGCTCGCCCCCAGGCCTCTTAGGTGGGGTAGGTCGGAGTAGGAGGAGGGGGAGGACGAGTAGGAGGACGAGGAGGAGGACGTGGAGGAGGAGGAGGAGGACGACGAGGAGGAGGAGGAGGAGGAGGAGGAGGAGGAGGATCATCACTTGGCTGACGAGGGAGGCTAAGGGTTGGCCGCCCGACCCCAACCCAAAACCTCGTTGTGCTGAGCCACCAATCATATCCACCGCGGCCGAGGCTGTGCCAGATAGCCGCAGAGAGGCAGACGCTGAATAGGGGCGATGAAGGTCTCTGTCGCGGGAGAATGCACCGTCCCCCTGAAGGGGGGTGCCTGACACACGTGCAGACACAGCGCGCACACGCACACGCAAGAGACATGGGCTTCAGTCAAACTCTGAGGGTCTGTGCCTGGCGATGTCGGTCTGAATGCCCAGATTCCAAAACAGTGGGTGATGGCATTGGGCTCATTCTTCTGCGTACCCTTCCTTTTGGGGTCGCACGGAGTGTGGCGACAACGGACGCCATTGTTCTGCATTCTCGCACGCGCTGCTCCCAAGGCTGTAGCTGTAGTTCTGGGCTCCAGCTTCGCCTCCCACCACTCGCATGCGTCTAACATCCTCTGGAATCCTTGCAGGCGACGTCGGGCTGCGACTTCGCCTCCCACATGCCCAGATTCCCAAAAACGTGGATGATGGCATTGGGCTCGTCCTTCTGCGTACCCTTCCTCCTGGGCTGCATTGTCGCGCGCGCTGCTCACTAGGCTGTAGCTGTAGATCTCAGGCTGCAGCTTTGCCTCCCATTTCTCGCATGCGTATAACGTACTCTGGAAATCTGTGCAGGCGATGTCGGGCTGCGACTTCGCCTCCCAAATACCCTGATCCCAACGTAGTAGGTGATGGCATTGGGCTCGTCCTTCAGCGGTCCTGTCCTCTTGGGCTCTCGCGGAGTGTGGCCAAACCAGCTGCCATTGCCCTTCATTGTCGCACTCGCTGCTCCTAAGGCAGTAGTCGCTGCTCCTAAGGCAGTAGTTGTAGAACTCGGGCTCCAGCTCCTACTCCCTCGTATCGCTCACGCAGTGTGATATATACGGGATGCGTCAAACTTCGATTGGAAAACTTGCCTGGCGACGTCGGGCTGCGACTTCGCCCCCCAAATGCCCTGATCGCCACGCTGAAGGTGATGGCATTGGGCTCGACCTTCGTGTTTGGGCTCCAGCTTCGCTTCCTCCTTCTCGCACTTGGTTAGAGATGTATGGGCTGCGTCCACCCTGCACGGAGTATCGGTGCTGGCGACGGCGAACTGCGACTGGGATGCCACAAGGCCCTTATCCTTGCGCTGTAGCAGATGGCGTTTGGCTCGTCCTTCGCCGCACAGCCCCTGCTGCCACTGCTTGTCGTCCGACGACCAAGCGGCGTAGTACTTCTCGAAGTACCGTCGGCCGCTTTGGAGATGCTTGAACCCGTGCATCTTGGCGGAGGCCTGGCGGTGTCGGATCCCCACTGCACCCGAGCGCGCGCACGCCGCACGCCGCCTGGGGGACCCAGGTCGTGCCGACCAACCTTGAGCCAAGATGGCGTGAACCGAAGTAGCTCGAGCCAAAATGGCTACGGTGGAGGAGGAGGAGGAGGAGGAGGAGGAGGAGGAGAAGGCAGAGGAGGAAGAGAAGGGGGACGAGGAGGAGGAGGAGGAGGAGAAGGGAGGAGGGAGGAGGAGGAGGAGGAGGAGGTCTCTCAGATGGGGTCGGAGTAGGCGGGGTCGAAGGATGGCGCCGCATCGCCGATGCATCGCCGATAACGCCGATGCATCGCCCATACGTCGGCGATGCATTGGCGATGCGACGCGATCCTCCGACCCCATCTACTCGGACCCCATCTAGGAGGCCTCTATCTCCCCCGCCCCTTCTCCCACAGGAGGAAAATGGACCGATACCGCTGCCCTTCCCTCGTTTTCCCGTTTGGCGGGCCTCCTGGGATGTCCCCGTCGCCACCGCTGGATTCGCCTCGAAATTCTGATCAGAACTCACCCTGGAAGAGATCTGGGGGAGTAGCAAAGTGGGTACGTTTTGGTTTCCACATTTTCGAGAGGGAAATCGACTGCACAATTGATCTACCACAGAAAAATGTTTTCACTCTCTCGTAGGGTGTTGTAGACAAGGATCGACGACGCATTCTTCGCAGAACCGACACAACATACGACGTATTTCACGTTAAATTGACACATAATATGTATATTCGATACAAAAATACGTATAATCGACGCAACATACTAGTATAATCGTATTTGTGTGTGTTCACCTGTGCTCGTAGGGCTGTAGCTTTTGGTGGATCGTATGAAGGGTTTGGCGTGATTGTGCGCTCTAGTGGTCTGTACTGTGATTCGAAAGCTGGGCGAGGGCTGCTAAAACCGTGGCTGCCAAAACGGCCCTCCCGGAAGGAACAAACAACTTCCCGGAATGAGGCGCGGCACGCGGAACAGTCAACGGGCTTTTTCCCGGAAGGACGAAGACAATTTCCCGGAGGTCGATTTTAGCAGCTACGGATTTAGCAGCCCTTGCCCGGCTTCTGAGTGATATCTTGTTGTTGTGGATCAGTAGTGGTGGTTGCGTCTCGTCTCCACCGTCGTTGTAAGTGTCGTCTGATGTGCGAGTCTCCAGTCTGTGTTTTTGCGTTCGCGTGTCTGGTCCTTTTCCTTCAGAGAGTGGGTCATGTATATCTCAAGCGCTGGCGTCCATGTAAAACGTGTAGAGTCGGCCCAGTCGTCCACCCGTACGGCAAAGCGTCTATCTGGCTCCGTGGGTTGGTACCGTGGATCCGGGGTGTGCCATCCATCACGATGGCAGTAGCAGTCATCCCTCGTCCTCCTCCCCGCCCACCCCTCCCACTCGTCAAAGGCCTCTTCCAGCCCCCGCCACGGCCGCGGCAGGACGGCTACCCGTTCCAGCCCGTGCCACGCGAGGCCCCGGACGCCCGCGCGCCCGACTCCGCGGCGGCGGCCGCCGCCGCCGCGGCTGCACAGTCCCGCGTCGCGGGAGAATGCCGATGGGAGGCGTTTGGCTTGGAGCCAGCTGTCGGGGGCGGCAAAGAGGGGGGTGATGACTAGGGGGGGGTGGATGTCATGGCGGGGGCCATGATGTTTCCCCAGATTTCATGGCGCTTCTTCTTATTTCATTACGTCCCTGGCCCCCCCGCTGGGCCGCGCACATGCCGCCGGTCATGATTTGCACCCCCTCCTCTTGGACACCCCCCTCTTGGCCGCTCCTGAAGCTGAGGTCTGGCCCAAGGTGGGGTCGGAGTAGATGGTGCCGAAGGGTCGCGCCGCAGCGCCGATGCAGCGGCGGTGCGGCGCGATGTGGGGCCCGATCTTCTCCACGCCGGCGTCGCCTGATGCATCGCCGATGCATCAGTGATGCATCGACGATGCGGCGCGAACCTCTGACCCCATGCACTCCGACCCCGTCTGAGAGGGCCATCGTGCAGGCGAGCAGGAGGGGTGGCGAGATTCGAGGTTCTGGGTTCAGGAGAGTTTTTGCTTGCCCTCTTCGGCTTCCAGGGGCCGCTTTCCGGTCCCAGGACCGCCAGAAACGGATCCGGGGTGGAACATAGTACAATAGTGGCCCCAGGAGAAGTCCGGGCACTGTTTTTTCGCGGATTTGCCCGTACGGTCGGGCCGAGGTATACGATCGATGTTGGTTCGGGGAGGGCACCCTAATGTTCTTCGCGTCTGTTGGATACTGCTGTGCATTCTGGGGGAGGGTGCCCCTGGAGTGATCCTGGAAGCTGCGGATTCATGGTCGGAGACCAGACGCCGATCTATCGGCCGTGCACTGCCGAGTCCAGGTCGATGCGTCCCCCCCATGCGCCAGTTCCCCCCCCCAAACGTTGCCCCTCGCACGGATCGCCCCCGCCCCGGTAGGCAAGCGACGCCCAGGGCTCTCCTCCTCCTCCTCCTCCTCCTCCTCCTTCTCCTCCTCCTCCTCCTCCTCCTCCTCCTCCTCCCTGGGGAGGGGGCCCAGGCCTCCGAGGAAGCACGGCGGCGGGGCGGGTGGGCCCGCCGCCACCGTGCCGCGAGCCCGAAGGCGGGCCATGTGCCTCTGCAGGGGGAATGCTCTCAAGAATGGTCCAGAAATAGTCTGGGGACTATTTTTGGGTATTTTGGGCATCCTGTGGGCATTTTTGGAGTATTGTCTCTTCGTCGAGAATCCCCCTGTAGGGGGGCACGCCCGACTTGACGCGAGCAGCGAGCGGAAGCACGCCCGTCGAGGAGAAGGAAGAGACACGGCGGGAAGACCATATACGCTGGTCGTCGAAAGGATCTATGTTTGGATTGTCTATGTCTGTGGGGCAGCGATCGTACCTCTCTAGCTAGCAGCCATTTCGGGGCGCACGGCCCCCCCTCACACTCGGCGCCCAAACTCGCACTGCATACTCGCACTTTGCACTCGCACCCTGCACTCGCCCCCGCAATCGCCCCCCGCTCTGTGCGCCCACACTCGCACTTCATACTCGCACCCCGCACTCGCGCCCACACTCACCCCCCGCGCTTTGCGCCCACGCGACACGAACGCGAGACGCGGGTCAAGTCGGCGCACTAAGTCGGGGACGCCCACCCCACGGTCAATTCGCACTTCGCATTCGAGGAATCAGCTTGGACAACCAACTCGCGAAATCCATTCGGCACCTCCAATCGCGAAACCAAGGCGGCAAATCAACTTGGCACATCAACTTGCGAACTCAACTCGGCAGGCCGCCCCGCCAAATCAACTCTCTAAACCAACTCTCTAAATCACCCTTATAAATCATCTTGGCAAATCAACTCGGGAAATCAACTCGGTAAACCATTTCCAGAAATCAACTTGGGAAATCGATTCGGGAAATTAACTCGGGGAACCAATTCGCACTTCGCAGTTGGAATGGTAAGTCAAAGTCCAAGAAGCCAACGCCAATTCAACTCGCCATCTCAGCGTTCCGTGCAAGCCAACTCCACGCATCAACTCGGGAAATCAACTCGGCAACTCCTGTAAATTAATTATGTAAATCAATTCTGTAAATCAACTCGGCAAATCAACTCTGTAAATCAACACAACCAGTTCGGCAAATCAACTCGGGAAATCAAGTCGGCACATCAACTCTGTAAATCAACTCGGTGAAACAACTCTATACATCAACTCGGGAAATCAACTCGTATCATCAAGTCGGTAAGCCAATTCGGGTAGTGTGGTGTGAGTGTGGGGTGCGAGTGTGTGCGTAGACTGGGCGTAGAGTGTGGTGTGTGTGTGTGTGGTGCGGGTGTTGGCGTAGAGTGTGGGGTTCGAGTGTGGGCGTGCAGTGTGGGGTGCGAGAGTGCGCGTAGACTGTGGGCGAAGAGTGTGGGCGCGAGTGTGAGATGCGAGTATGGAGTGCGAGTGTCGGCATGGAGTGTGGGCGCGAGTGTGTTCGGCGAGTGTGGGCGTCGAGTGTGGTGCGTTTCTGGCCTCGAGCTAGTGCTGGCCCCTCAGACATACACAGTTTTTTATCCCCTAAATCCTTTTTTTGTTGCAACTTGCCATTGCAAGAGGCCAGCGGCTGTCCCGCTTCACTCCTCTGCAGGGGGCGGGCGGAGGCCCAGTCTGCTTCCAACGCCTTCCTATTTCGTGTTTTCACCCATTTCTTCGAACCGACGGGTACGCTTTGCCAGGTCTGCGCGGATTTTTTGGGTCTGCGCTGGACATCTGGCGCGCTCCGAATGCCGGTTGTGGGGGGGTCCATCGTTGTCCCAAGAAATCCGCGCGGGCTTCCAACCGTTTATGTTTATGTTTGTCGCTGTCTTTCTAAGAGTGCCTTTTGGTCAGTCAGAGTCCGCCATACCCAGGCGTGTAATTCTGTCAGCGTTGGCCTCGTGGTTTATAGGTCATTCTCGGGTGTCATCGCCGCCTTCGTCATGTCCTTTCCTTGTAGCTCAGTGTCTGCAAAGATCCAGCGCCTTCGGAGAGGAGGTCCCAGGACCCCAAGGGATCAGTTGATATTGATACATTTGGACCCCCCTGGGGCCCAAGAGCATCCGGTCCATATCCAAGGCCTGCTGGGGCCCTGGGGCATCGGTTCCTCAGGCGGTGCACACGTATTAGCTCTGGCCTGGGAGTCGCCGTCGTCACCGGCGTCGTTGCCGCAGTTGCCGTCGCAGTCGGCAAGGCTCATACCCAGGCCTCCCACGACTTGAAAGAGTCAAGGTGCATATATTTCGCCGTTCCGCGGCCTCTGGGGGCCCGGCCACATCTGGTTCCTGGGAAGGTGCCGAACAATTCGGGTTCTTGTTTGGACACGCCGACGATAAGCACAGCGTCGAAGGTTCGGTATCTACCCTTCTCTCTCGGAGGAGAGCATCCTCCTCATCCTCCCTACAGCCCGGGCCCCTGTCCTCTGCTCATGCCCTCCTTCCTGCACTCTTTTGCTCCTTGCCCTCCTCGTTGCTCCCTCCTCCCGGCCAGAGCGTCGGAGAGGCCAGGGAAGGTATAGATCTGGCGGGTGCACGGAAGGGCAGACGCCTCGTGGGTCCACCTCTCGTCTCTTCGATCCACCCCTCTTTGACGCCATCCTGTGCTGTCGCTTCCTTACCTGACCCCCCCTCCTCCTTCCGCTGGATCGGGACGAGGGTTGCGGATCGAGACGAGGGCTGGCCCACTGGCCGCCGTGCGGCGACGACGAGCGCGGCGGCGACGGCAGCGCCAGCGTCTCGGCAGCGGCTCCATCGGAGCAGCCCGGGCGCCTCGCCCCAGATCAGTGGAGCAGGAGGGCACGGTAGGAGGAGGAGAACGAGGAGGAGAAGGAGGAGGAAGAGGAGGAGGAGGCAGATGAGGAGGAACAGCAGGAGGAGGAGGATGAGGCAGAGGAGGAGGAGGAGGAGGAGGAGGAGGAGGAGGAGGAGGAGGAGGAGGAGGCCCAAGATTTTCAGGTGTTCCAGGGGGTCGTGGTGTTCCGCACGCGGTCCAGGAGCCAGGGCCGCCACAGACTTTCCTGGGATGTCCAGAGCGTATCCTGAGTAGTTATCATCAGGACACCGCCCTCGGCCCACCGGAGGAGGCGTCCTGCCATGCCCGTTTGCTGGGGAGCTCCGGGAAGCGCAGGGCGTGCAGGCGTCTTGTGCCCCCAAACGGTGCGGTGACCGCACCGTGCGGTGAGCCAGTGGGGATTCGGGGTCACCGCACGGTTTTGGGACTCGGGTCGTTCTCCGAGGACGTCTCGGGCGACGAGGTCCCAACACCATGCGGTGAGGACCGTGCGGTGAGGTCTTGGGGGAATTCGAGGTCACCGCACGGTGCGTCACCGCACCGTTTCAGGACTCCAAAAGGCGGCAACACCCTGTCTCGGCATCGTTCGGACGTGTGCATGTTTTCTCGGCGAAGACCATCGAGGAACATCCTGGAGCATAATTAAAGCACGAACGGAATTGACGAATGCACGGGGGGAGGGACGCCCGATGGATGGCGAGCTGTAGCGCCGCTGGCGCGGGACCAGCAGCAACCCCCCAGGGAGCTGAGGCTGGCGCGAGGGCGTGGAGGGTCGACGAGGCGGCGCTGGGTCGCCCGCAGGGTTGCGAAAGGGTGATCGCGCTTCGCGCGCCGCGGCCTCCTCCTCCTTCTCCTCCTCCTCCTCCTCAGCATGGAGGGCTGCCCTTCTCCAGGGGGCGGCGAGAGGGCGCCAAGAGAGAGGCACACGTCGCGCCTCCGGGTGCGCGTTGCGCGAGGCTGGGAGTATCCAGGGAATGCCGCGCTTGGGGAGGATGCTGAGCTCGAGGCGCGGGCCGCGTGGGTCGAGACGTGCCCCGGATCGTCGCAGAGCAGGGTAATTAGTCGGGGGCGGCAAAGAGGGGGGGGATGACTAGGGGGGGGTGGATATCATGGCGGGGGCCGTGATATTTCCTCGGATTTCATGGCGCCTCTTCCTATTTCATTACGTCCCTGGCCCCCGCGCTGGGCCGCGCACATGCCGCCGGTCATGATTTGCACCCCCCCCTTTTGGACACCCCCCTCTTGGCCGCTCCTGAATTAGTCGTGGCGGTCCTGGTCTGGGCCATGCTCCCGACGGTGACCACAGCCCACCTCATGGAAGGCGCAGCCGTGAGGCGCGCGGGCGTGGCTCCAACGTTGCTGATTGGAGGACCAGGCGTCGGCCTGGCTCGAAGTTTTCCGCCAAGCGAGACCACTTCTCGCAAGCCTGCCCAGCAGGTCAGGCTTGTGCGCGGGGAGACGCTCGAAGCCGTTCTAGATAGGAACAGGGTCGACTTCGCAATCATCGACATGGCTATCAAGATCGCCACCCTGTTGATCAAGAACGGCACCACATCGGGACGGCCATGATCGACTCAGCACAGAGATGACCGACAGGGGGGCTCTCCAGGGAGGGCAGTGCCTCACACGTCTGGGGCCGCTTGAAGCGCGCGCGCACGCGAGTTTACCGCAAGCACAGCATCAGCATCAACATTCAGCACGAGAGCTACAACAAACACAAGCGTTGTTGGATTCTTGGGGTCCGCGCGGATGTCTCGGATCGGCGCCGGGCCCCCCCTCCCGGGCGCGCGGAGCTCGCCAGGGTCCGCGCGATGGGCGCCGCCAGGGGGGCTCCAGCCCCAGCCCCGAGCCGTGCCATCCGCGCGGCCTTCCGGGAGCCGACGTCTGCGTCGCGTGTGCTTCGGTGGCTGCCCGCCTCGAGTGGGCCCCTGGTAGGGAAACGAACTCTCAGAGCCCCGAATCATCAGGGGTAACTCGGGTCAGGGCTAACTCGGGTTCGTTTCTCGGGAATCCAAACCCGAGTTACCCCGGACCCGAGTTACCCCGGATAACTCGGGCGCCCAGAGCCCCGAATCATCAGGGGTAACTCGGGTCAGGGCTAACTCGGGTTCGTTTCTCGGGAATCCAAGCCCGAGTTCCCCCGGACCCGAGTTACCCCGGATAACTCGGGCGCCCAGAGCCCCGAATCATCAGGGGTAACTCGGGTCAGGGCTAACTCGGGTTCGTTTTTCGGGAATCCAAACCCGAGTTACCCCGGACCCGAGTTACCCCGGATAACTCGGGCGCCCAGAGCCCCGAATCATCAGGGGTAACTCGGGTCAGGGCTAACTCGGGTTCGTTTTTCGGGAATCCAAGCCCGAGTTACCCCGGACCCGAGTTACCCCGGATAACTCGGGCGCCCAAAACTCTATATATATATAGATATATACACACCGACGCTTCTTCCGACCCTGCGCCGAACTTCGCACAGGAACGCGGCTTCTGGTGTATACGGGATCCTGGTGTTTACATTTGTTCGTTCTGTTTTCCTTGGAAAACGGGGCAAAAATATACACCACACCACCCCGACGCCGTCCCTGACCCTTAAAAAGGCGTGGGATTGAAAAACAAACCGCCACTGGTAATATACATGTTCCAGCTTGCGACATGAGGCCTGCAGCTTGCATCCAAGTGCTGCATAGTCAGACCATAGTCTGGGGCTGGGGGCGACGTTTCTGTTCTTTGTCAATATTCCTGAATCTGTTTGACCATGTTGAGTTGTTCTCCCGAAATCCGCCTGCCGGAGGCCACGCCACCGACGAGGCCCTGGCAGGGGGCGGGCCTGCACTGCATGGACCCCCGCGGGGGAATCGCCTCGCAGGGACGGCGTGTTTTTGTTTTGTCGGAGACCGGTGGTTCGGTGGCGAGCGACGGGGGGACGGGGAAGGGGGCAGGAGAAGGCTTTCTCAGAAGGCGGCGGGGCTTCTCAGAAGCCCTCCTGGCATGCCGAGAGAAATGCTCTGCGCCTCCGGGGCAGGCCCAGGAGACTTCTCAGACGGCTGGAGGCTGCCGAGCCTTCTGCGAAGGCCCGCCCATGATGCTCACTCTCCCCGGGACTCGCCGCCGCAAGCTACACCTTAGGCGATGCTTAAGAAAACCCAAGTTTTCGGCCAGAGTCTCGATTATTCTTAACGTTTCCATGTAAATCCTAAGATTTTGATAGAAGTTCTGGGTTTTTATTCAAGTTCTGAGACTATGAATTTCTTAACCCATGATTTCTTAAGCATTTCGCAGGGTGTAGTCGCCCGGCTGCAAGAGAGCACGACGGGGCGGAGGGCGGCCGCGGAGCGAGGAAGAAGGGGTGGAGCGCATTCACAGCACGAGAATGTCCTCGGCGTGAGTGGCGGGTGCGGCCGGCCGTTGCTGAGCTGAGGCGTCCCGGCAGCGGACACGGAGCGACTCTCTTTTCCGGCGCCGAGGGCGATCGTCTCACGGGGGCAGCGTGCCACACGTGACGCCTCGTAGCTTCGACGAGAGCACTCGCGACGGCCGGCGGCCCCCGGAGAGCCCGGCGGCAGGTCGAGCAGCTGCGCGACCACCGCGTGGTGTCCACCGCCTGCGGCGACGTGCACACGCTCGCCCTGACGGGCCCTGCTCCCCCCAGCAGTCGCAGGCCTAGAGGTTGACACCGACACCAATTTCGGCGGTGCGCCTCCACCGAGGGAGGAAGATCCCGATCTCGGCGATGGTGGTAATATTCGGTATTCCTAGATGGCCGAACGATTACCACCAACACCGGAATTTTGGATCATCTTCTCCTTGTGGAGGCAACCCCCTGTGTTGGAGTTGGTGCCCATTTCCAGGCCTCCAAGTCAGGGTCCGGTTCGATCCGATCCAATTCGATGTTCCAAGTTTCGCAGTACAAGGGAGGGTGTCAATCCCAGGCGAGCAGTCTCAGACCCCCCCGGCGCCAGGCACGAGGGGGCGGCCTGTTGCCCAGACGCCCTTTTGGAACCCTCCAAGACAGCTCCAATCAGACCCCCCCTGAATCACCAGATCAGACACCCGCCCTTGAATTTCGAAGTATCGATGCCCGCCTGCCCGATCCGATTCCATGCCGCTAACAATTCGGCGCGAGGAAAGTGGGTACGGAAAGGATGAGTACGATGCCCTGTCCACTCTGAGCAGGAGTCACTGTCCGCGCCGCGCGCGGGCGTCGTCAACTCGAGGCAGACAGCCGCTTGCCCAACAGCGGACACTGTCGATGTGGGACAACACTCACATAAATGTACCCATGTTTTCCATTCAGGAGGGGAAGAAACACAGACACAATTCATCGTCGATCCCCAAGAAAATATTGGAAACTATGGGAATTGGGCGGGAAGACAAAAACCCTGAACATATGGTAAAATATGGGGCATAGTTTCATTTGTGTATTTATTTGTGTCCTGGGGTCCCTTCAATTAACATACATGTACCTAAGTTTTCCATGCCCACGTTGGGCGAAGCTATGCCGACGATCCGATGCGGCCCGCTGCGCGCGCTTGCCTGCATGGCGCGGCGCGGTTGTGTGTATGCCGGCGCGGCCGATCCGGCTCGTTGCCGACGCCCTGCCGATGCCGCCCGACCCGACGGCGGTTCCGATTCGATCCGATTCCCCGACTCGGTGCGGGCTGTTCTTCAAAGGGGATGAGCTCAGGGGCCACGTGAGTTCACCACCCACCAAGCCACCCCAACCCAACCCGAAGGCCTCATATTGACCTCCATTTCCAGTGGGGGGGGGGTCGGGGAACGTTGAAAAAACACGTATGGAACCCGTACCCCCCCCCAACCCGAAATTCGGGTCTTCGGGTTGGGTTGGGGTTGTCTGGTAGGTAGTCAGATGAGCTCAGGGGCCACGTGAGTGGGGGGCGAGTTGTTGTCATATTCGGCTCCTGGGGGCCCTCGTGGGGCCCCGGGAGCGCCGACCACGACGCAGGATGGAAAAAGGTTGGTCCCGGGGAGCGGTCGAGACGTCCCGTCCCGGGGCCGACGTCGTGAAACTTCCCAGATAGTCTGGTACCGGAATTTTTCGGTAGCGATTTCGACGCACCCCGAATTTCGGTAGCGACCGGATCTTCGTTTGAGGGCGTTGAAATAGCGGAGTTCAGAACGCTCTGATACCGGTATTGGGCGCTACATTTCGGTATTTCGGTAGCGACCGATCTCTGCGGAGCGCTACCGGAAATTTTCGGTAGCGGACCATCAGGGTTGGGTTCTTGGTGCGAGCTACGTGCTCTGGAGTTTTCGAGGGTCCTCGTCCGTCAGCCAGCCTCGGGGTTCTTTCCAGCAGCTGAGCCTCGCCGAGGGCGTTCTGGGGGTGCCCAGAACGTCCTCAACGGCTGCCAGAGCCGATTTCTGACCCGAAAGCCAGGGAACAAAATGCTAGGGCCAGGCAGGCTTCGTGGGGGAGGCATCGACCGCCAATCGCCAGTTTATCACCGATATCGGTAGCGGTATCTGTTCCTCCTTTGAATGTGTTGCTACCAGAAGTGCCCGCGCGCACGTTTGCACGGGTGGATGGGGGAGTCAACGTTACGAGGGGACAGTCTCAGGGAGGATGCATCGACCCCCAATCGCCAATTCATCGCCGATTGGGGCCCGATAACCCGCCCTCCCAGGAACAGTACGGTTTGGCTATCGGGGATTTGTCGCCGATCCATTGGCGATGTATCGCCGACTCCAGCTCGACGTTTCCCCCCGTGAGTCCCCTCCTTCCGTTGATCCCCGCCGTTTGCCCACGAGAGCGCGCGCGCGCGCGGGCTGTGCCGGTGGCCACGAAGTCAGGGGAGGAAAAGGTACCGGCCTTCCTCTCGTGTTCGCCTTGTTGGGCCTTCTGTGAGGCCCTCGCCGCCACGGCTGGATGCGCCTCGCAGTTTTGGTCAGAGCGCACCCAGGGCTGGGTTACAGGAGCATCGGAATCGGTACCTGTCGGTTTCCTCACTTTACGTCCGCGTGAGCGCGCGTGCGCGCGCGGGCTGTGCCAGAGTCGCCACGAGGGAGCCGGGGCTTGGAGGAGAGCTCGGAATGTATTGGCCACACACGCGGAGGGGGGTGGGGGGAGGGGGAGGACTTCTCAGAAGCACCCCTGCTTCCCAGAAGGCGCGGGCCCAACCTATAGGTAGAAGGCCGGCGCCTTCCAAGAAGCAGCCACCTTTCGGGGGAGCGTAAGACCCGGGTTTGCCAGGACTCGGGTTCGCCATTTTTTTTTGACGACCGCGACTCGGATTTTGACGAGGAGGAGTTTCGTGGGATGTCTGCAGCGGGAGGCCTCGTCAAAATGCAGGCTCGGCCTCGCCATTTTTTTGACGACCTCGTCGGGGATTTCCGAGTCCCCCGTACCCGGGTCTTACGTCTCCCCGAACCTCCTGAGAAGCCCCCCCCCCTCCCCCCCCGCCCCCTCGTGCGCTTCCGCCAAATGCAGAGCGAGAGGCGGGCCTGAGGGGAGCGGGTCCCGAGGCTGCTCTCGCCGCCTCTGGGCCCTCCACGGCCCCCCCCCCCCCCGGGGGCGGGCGGCGGTCCGGGGCGAAGAGCCGGTCCCGGGTCCAGGGCCCGTGCTCAGAGCCCAGAATCATCAGGGGTAACTCGGGTCAGGGCTAACTCGGGTTCCTTTTTCGGGAATCCAAACCCGAGTTACCCCGGACCCGAGTTACCCCGGATAACTCGGGCGCCCAAACTCGGGGCGAAGAGCCGGCCCCGGGTCCAAGGCCCGTGCCTCTCAGGGCCCTCTGGACGCCCGGAATGGGTACCGAGGGAGTCGGTACAATGCTCGGGAGCGGAAAAGAGAGGGGTGATGACTAGGGGGGGGTGGATATCATGGCGGGGGCCATGATATCTCCCCAGATTTCGTGGCGCCTCTTCTTGTTTTATTACGTCCCTGGCCCCCCCGCGGGGCCGCGCACGTGCCGCCGGTCATGATTTGCACCCCCCCCTCTTGGACACCCCCCTCTTGGCCGCTCCCGATCAGGGCCCTCTGGACGCCCGAAATTGGTACCGAGGGAATCGGTACAATGCCCAACAGCAGTTCCTTTTTCATTTTGAGCAGGATTCGCTGTCCACGCCGCCGCGGCCTGTGTCCGTTCGAGACAGAAGGCCGCCTGCCCAACAGCGGCCGCTGTTGGTTTGGGACAACATTTGTTGTTGGGCATCGTACCCATTTCGGGCATCCAAATGCCCGTTCCCGGTATGCCAGGCTCGAGGAGCGCCAGGTCGGACAACAGGGAAGGTCCTCAGTGGAGGAAGAGGTACTCAATACTGCTGGCTGCTCTGCGCCCGTTTTCACTTTTTTCGGCATCCTGGCAGCCCCTCGTCGCCACCGCTGGATCTACTTCGAAATCCTGGTCAGGACGCACCCTGGGAGAGGTCCGAGGCGTAGCGGTATCGGTACCTGTTGGTTTCCCCAAACATGGAATTTGCAGCACGCAGCGGGTTTCGGCACCGCTGCCAGGCGCTTTCTTCGATGCGTGGTCGCTCCCGGCGTTGGGAGGCGCATGGAATACTAGTGGCATGTTTCTCTAAGAAGCAATGCCCAGACGCACACCAATCGCTGCAGACGCGTTTGCGCATACAGCTGGCACAAAGAGTAAGGACAGACCCAGCTTCGGAGGATTCTGTACCCATGTGGTATGGGGTCTTTCTTCGAAACGGCCCACCGTTGTGGCCATGCTTCGATTGTGGGGGGCGTGAGGGTGAAGGGCTCGTCTCCTCCATCGCCCTCAGTTCCGCCGCAACCGCTGCGGGGCTCGAGGCGCCGATGCCTTGGCCACCCCGCTGCTCGCCCGCCCGCGCAGCATGAATGGCGTCTGGCTAGAGGACGGCTCATTCGAGGCCGCCGAGGGTAGGAGGGATACAGTGGAGACCCATGCCAAGAAACACCCTGCTTGCCTCCAGGGTGCCCTGGGTTTCTTGGGTTTCGGTGCTTTTGCTACGGAAAGCGTGACGTTCCCACACCAAAAATCAATGGACGTGCTGGGATCGCAGGATTGGATTTCTTGTGGATGGCTTCTTGTAGTCGAGCTCTTACTGTAGTGGGAGGGAGGTCCGATGATTGCGATTTTGTGTCGCTTTCGCGTTTTCCTGGGCGGGGGAATGGTGCGGCTCTGTGCGGGAATTTCTGCCTGCCATCTCCCTTCGCCGCTTTTTCGCAGTATTGTACTCGGCCCCTGGTCCAAGACGCAGCCGCCCCACGGCGACCCTCACACCCACGACCCACGACGGCCCCCCGACTGCCGCCGACGACCTGCGCCGCGCCCCCCCCTCCAGCCCGCCCACATCGCTCGTGCGTGCCGGTGCCTTTGCCGCCTCTCTCTTTTCCTGCCGTGGTGTTCGTCCTCATCCTCGTCTGTCTTCTTTGTTCCTTCCCTCCTCGTAGCGCTATCGGTGGCGCTCAGCGGAGGTGCGCTGTCTGCCAGTTGAAACTCCTCCTCCGCCTCCTCCCACTCCTCCTCCTCCGCCTCCTCCTCCTCCTCCGCCTCCGCCTCCTCCTCCTTCTCCTCCTCCTCCTCCTCCTCCTTCTCCTCCTCCTCCTCCTCCTCCCCTCCTCCCCCCCTCTTATCACGTCCGCTGCGGGATCTGGCCCGCGGGTGGCCGACGTGTGTCCAGAGTGCGGGGAGGCCGTGCAGGCTGCGCCCGCGGTCTCGCCACGGCCTGCGGGAGGCTCCCCGTG